ACAAAGTACCCTGCTGAGGGGAGCAGTGGATGGGCCAGGAGAGGTCTGCTGCGCTATGTGGATCACTTCCAGACCCAGGGATAGAACTCATGTTGAAGCAGCTTTAGCTTCATAGTGTTGTGCTTTAACCCACTGCACCACCAGGGAGGGCCCACTGCAGGGATTCTTGACCTAACTTTCATTGTACCCATGATGTTGTTACTTACTTGTAAGGAGTATGATACTAAGTACTATGTGTATATTATTAAATATTGAATTATTAGAAATTTATTTTGAGAATCTCTCTTGTTTGAAACCAAGAATAAAAGTTCATATTCTCAACCTAGCATTCCACTCTTCTCCTCAAGTCTATTATTTATCAAATAAAATAGGCTTGCTTAGGAGCCTTAAGAAATATCAACAGCTAACCCTTAGACAAAAACTTGTAAGTTAAATATGCAAATCCTATACTACTTGAAAATGATTACAGCCATTATTTAATTCTGAAGTCCCTGAAAATTGGCTTATTGGCATATGCCTCTGTCAGAATATGTCAACCCTTTCTTTCCACAGTCTCTTCAAAGATGACTTACATGTGGCAATCATGACTCCCCTGGTTAGAGGGAGCTTGTTAGATGATACATAAATCCCCCTGTATCCCCCATATACACCACCAATTCTGAACCCTTCTATTATTGATTCATACTCTAGGAAGCAGGGCAGACAAAGGGCTCTGGTTCAGATTAGAAACTTACTGCACATTATGTAGTGATAAAAATACTGAAGAGTCGACATTCTTTTTTTTAGGTTATATTAATGTATCCCAGCATCAATGTGACTGTTCACAATTACATAGTCAAATGCCATCTACTTATTTGGGAATAGATACTGGAAAACTAATTATTGATAGATGATAATAAAAGGGATCAAATGCCCAAATTTGGTACCACAAATTAACTTCTGTTTAGTTCTTTGCAAGTGTTTCAATTGCACTTATTTGTAAAATTTCTTTTCATCACAGCAATATTCATATATTGTTCCTGTTTGTTTGATTGACTAGGTTTCACTTATAGATTACAGTAAAAAACTGAAATTTTTGGTTCACAATATAAATTCTATAAAATCTTGTTTCTAAGTCCAAAATATTAAAGCACATTCATTTTTGTTTGTCAGTAAAGGTTTGTTTCTTAAAATTATATATTGGAGGGCCCTCCCTGGTGGCACAGCAGTTTGGGGCACAGCACTGAGAGGCTGGGGCCACATCTGCGTGGGTTCGGTTCCCGCCTGCCCCGGAGGAGACCACATGGCGTGGCAGACCTCTCCTGACCCGCCCGCTGCTCCCCTCAGCGGTGTGCTTTGTCGGTCTGCCTGTGCTGCTCCCCGCTCTGTCTCTGCTGGGGCCTCTCGCCGCCCCTGAGCCTCTGGCGTGTGCCCCAGTTCTGTATGTGCAAATGAATGGATCTTTAAAAAAAAAAATTATATAGTGGGCTAAACAAAGGACATGTTTATGTAACCCCAGAAAAATAATTTTATTCTGAAGACTATAGAACTTAGAAGTTTTAGAAAGATACTGTATTCACTAGTAAATGTGTTTACCTACATTCCTAAGAGAGAATTTTGAGATAATTTCTTGATAAAAATCTCTACGAATAAAGCTATCTTTAGTTCTTTTCTTTTTTTCAAGTTCCTTTCTATTGGTTAATAGATTTGCAACTTGCTCCCCCTTCTTAGGCAGCTGTGTCAACTCTTCAAGAAATGGCCCCAGGAACAACATTCCAACCAGTCATTGGTGATTCATCGGTGGATCCAAAAAAGTAATTTGATGTATATCAATTTTCTTTCTCTCTAGTTGATTTTTAACGAGTGGGAAAATGTCGTTAAAGATCCCAAGGGAGCCTTTACAAGAAATGTGCTGATAGAAATCTTCAAGTTGGTGGGGGAGGAGTTAGCATAGCTATGCAGAATAAACTCTGAAGGCCTGTGTTGCCAGAGAAGGACTGCCAGGGCTTGGCATGTTGCTGGACCCAACTTCAGAGCCCCAGTGGCATCATTTGTGAAGCAAATAAGTCTACACATTCCTCCTCCTCTTCTGATACAATTTTTCTTTAAGATACTGCTCCTTCACCTCATTGCTCCTTTTCTACCCAACAGAGTGAAAAGCCTAGTATTCTGCTGTGGCAAACATTTCTATGCTCTGCTGAAGCAAAGAGAATCCCTGGAAGCCAAGAAGGATGACTTTGCCATCATCCGAATAGAGGAACTCTGCCCTTTCCCACTGGATTCATTACAACAAGAGATGAGCAAATACAAACATGTTAAAAGTAAATGGTTGTTCTTGTTAGGATTGGTTTTCAGATACCTGATATCCTTTAAAACTATCTCAAGTGAAAAGAGATTCTAGGGACCATGTGAGGTATTAGAAAATTGAATTTCATGGAATTTGGAGATATGAAAGCACTACTAGAGCCAACATCTCCATGACTTTTTTAGTCATTCCTTCTCTCATCTAACACATCTAATTTTTGGAGAGTTTAAAGGTAATCACTGTTACACTGTCATTTAAAAGAAATCCAGGAAAGTGGTCAGAGACAAGTCTTTGCAACAAATGGAACTGGAATAATAGAAATTAACTAAAAAGTGATCATAGAACATAATTTAAGTGGAAAATATAAAACTTCATGAAGAATATAGGAAAAAATCTTCCCAACTTCTTGTTTGCCTAAATAAGAAAGCTCTTCTTTAAAAAAAAAAATGTTTATTTATTTATGCATACAAAACTGGGGTACAGGCCAGAGGTGCGGGTCAGGGTTGGTGAGAGGATTCACCAGAGACAATGGGGAGCAGATAGGTGGATCTTTGAAATACACTGCTGAGGGGAGCAGTGGGTGGGTCAGGAGAGGTCTGACATGCCATGTGGCTCAGCTCCCTGGCAGGGAATCAAATTTGTGCTGGAATCAAATTTGTGCTACAGTGGCTGTGGTAGCTTCATAGTGCTATGCTTTAACCCGTTGCACCACCAGGGAGGACCAACAAAAATTTCTTATATATAACACTAAAATCACATTCCACAAAGGAAAAACTAGACTTTATGAAAATGCAAAAATTTTTACCGTGAAGAAAATAAAGACAGGCCATACATTGGGAGTAAATACCTATCTGACAAAAGTCTATTCAGAATATCAAGAGATTTTGAATGTCAATAGTGAAACCAAAAGTCAGTAGTAAAAACCATCTAATTCAACATTTTAAATTGATTTGTACAAGCTCTTTACCAAAACTGAATGAAACCAGATGAAAGCAGACTCAACCTAATTAGTGAAGTGAAATGCAAATTAATCCAAATGAGATACATACGGTTACAGACCAATGTTGGAGTGACTTAAATGAAGACAAAACAATGAATTGACAATGTTGAGCACTAATGAGGATGCCGAGGGACTTTAAGCCCATTCACTGCTGGTATAAGCTGATAGGGCTTTCGCAGAAAATAGTTTTTCAGTTTCTTATAAGGTCCATAGAGTAACCAGATGGTCCAACAGTCCTACCAGGAGATATTTACCGAAGGGTAGTGAAAATGTGTTCACAGAAAAACCTGTATGTGCATATTTATAGCAGCTTTATTCACAATTGGTCCCAACTGGAAGCACCAAAATGCCCCATAACCAGTGAGTATGACTAGACAGTGTGCTGTACGTCCATCCACTGGCATACTATACACACATAAATGGGAGTGAGCTCTTGCTTAGACAAAGTTGCATATGTGTTCTGCACGTTCAAGGAAGCCTGATGCAAAGAACTGCATATTGCATTTACCTGTCATTCTAGAAAAGGCCTACAAGAGAGAAAGATCACTTGTTGCAGAAGGTTGGGGGTGGGGAAAATTGGTGACTTCAAAGGATGAGGGCCCTCCCAGGTGGTCCAGCAGGTTAAAACACAGCACCATGAAGTTATCTGCAGCCACTGCAGCATGAGCTCAATCCCTGACCAGGGAGGTGACCCACAAGGTGTGGCAGACCTCTCACCCCTCTGCAGCAGTGTGTTTCAGTCAATCTGCCTATTCTGTTCCCCACTCTGTCTCTGGTGAATCCTCTCACCTCCTTCATCTGTCCAGTAAAACAGTTCTTGTATGTATAAATACGTAAATCTTTAAAACAAACAAAAGGATAGGATGAAGGAAGTTTGGGAGTGATAGAATTTTCCTGTTTCATGAGTGTGGTGGTGGGTACATGACTATGAATCATCAAAAAAAAAAAGATGAGCAACACTAGACCACATTGGAAAGGCACATATACTTGAGGCTGAACACTGACACATTTGTATACATGTGTGTAATGTGTGTGTATATACCCACATGCCTACACATATACTGTGTGAATTGTATATGTTTATTTGAGGTGCTGAAATAACTTTCCGCTCTTGTAGATTTTATTTGGAGTCAGGAGGAGCCTCAGAACATGGGTCCATGGTTTTTTGTTTCTCCGAGGTTTGAAAAGCAACTGGCTTGCAAGGTAATAACGCTTTCTCTCGGGTAGTGTTTTCCATGTGTGTTTCTTCTAAAATGACAACAAGTATCAACTCCTTTAAATGTGAATAACAGAAAATTTAGTTTTAGACTATTCTTCCAGAATAAAATCCTTAGTCTCTACCCCTATATATGTGGACATACTACTATCGTGTTTTTTTAAAAAAAGTGATTATATTCAAAAAAAAGTAAAAGCTCTTACTTGTCAGCTCCCTTTCTCACTGTCCTGCTCAGCATTCTACTCCTACAGGTCAGTAGGCATCCGGGAAGCAGGGCAATGAGCAAGTTGGTTTACAGTGACAGTATAGACACTCAACCTTTGTTCCAGACCTGAGGTAATAAGTAATTACCTCAGAATAAAGCAAATTCAATCTTAACATGTCTGGAATTTAATTAGTTTTTAGTTGTGGCATATATCATCCTGCAATCTTTATTTTTCCCAAAAAATGATTCATGGTTAAATAGCCTAAGAGAAATTCATGCACCGCTTTGGGAGAACTAACCAGGGAAAATGTCAACTGATTTCTTTTTTGCTCCAATGATAGCTCCGTCTTGTGAGCCGACCCCCTTTGCCAACACCCGCCGTAGGCATTGGCACGGTTCACTTGCAGCAGCATGAAGATGTCCTCACCAAGACTTTTGCTTGATGATATCCTTTGGAAAGACAATATCTCCTTTTAAGAAAACTGCCAGAAAAAGCAAGGACTACTTTCTCCTTCTCTTTAGATAACATGAAACCACTGTATTCACCTAAGATGATGGGATTTATTAAGACAGTTTGATTTGGAATACGTAGTGACATAGCTAAGGAAATTGTCATCAACATTTGAAACTTGCAAGTCATTTTTATCCTTAAAAGTACAACGGAGTTATGTTTTGGTTAGATTTGAGTAAGTTGTACACCTAGGTCATTATCGAGATTTTGTTTTAGATGTCACTCTTTTTAATTACCAGGAACAATTCTTTTACTTGAATCTGTGCCTGAATATAGACCCAATCATTTCTCAATTTGTTTGATGGACATCTCTTTTGTTAATTTCTTACTTCTTTCCTGGGACTACCAGTATTTTCCTCCTATGTAATACCTGGTGCTGCTTTCCTGACACTGTGAAAAATGAGTCACCAAACACTGCTGCAAAACTACAGTGTTCTTTCAAATTAGTTGTTTTACTCATTATTCTTAAATATAAAGTCCTATTAAATAGAAATAACTCAGATCTTTTAGCATAGCATTATTAAATTAAGGAGTTTAGTTTCATTGAAATTAATTTATTGGCCACTATGTGCCATAGTATCTTTTGTTTTTTAATTGTTCTTCCAATGATAGCTCCATATTTTAAATTGACTTTGTTGGCTGACATGGGGATTTCAGTCCCTGGTTAATCAGTCTTGTTTCTAAAAACTCTCTGATGCCATGTGTGGCATTATTTGTGGTATTCAAGGAACACTTTCACTTTGACAAGACTTCCCACTGCCAGATATTTGGGAATTTCTAGAGATCACCCACCTACCTCCTTAGTCTAAAATTGAACATAGTAATGGAAAGATAACTAACAGCAGCAAACTGTAGCTTCATTTTACTTGCTGCTGTAGTGACTCTACCACCTACCATTCCATGCTGGGACACTGTTCTCAGAAGTGATGGGCGAAGTTCAGGGTAGTGGGACACTTTCTCCACTTTTACTGGCAACTGGCAATGCTTTTCAGATCCAATGAATACATTCTGGCTATGGCAGTGAATTCGTGATTCATCTCTTAAATGTATGCATTAGTGTATAGATTTAACATTTCTGTAATATTTATATTCCTTTTATTCCTGATATACCCTAGTGCTCTCTCCTTTTGTCAGATTATAAATCATGTAACTTAGTGCCACTCACGCAAATCAGTAAAATTTGCATTGAAAAACATTTTCAATGAAAACAATTATCTATGTTGTATGTTGAATGAGAAAAAAATAAAAGCACTATCAATTTTTCCCCAGATCTCTTGGTTTCTTGAATTAAAGAATTTCAAAAGTCTAACGATGGACTGAAATGGAAACATAATTTTTTTTTTAGTGTAGCTTAGACCTCTCCAGATTTCTAACTTTATACTTCACAAGTCTGTCTTCTTAGTGCGTCTTCTCCAACATGAGCCATGAAACATGTCTTCTCTATTTTAACTATCTTACTTACTTAATCACTACAACAATATGCATTAGTGTTTTGAATTACCTTGCAGAAAGAGCCCATGTGCAAATCAAATACTCCCATATTAGAGTATGGCATCTAATAAAAAGGTAAAATGAAAACATTTTACTTTATTTCGCTTAAAAATTTAATAGTGATACTTATGTCTCATAGCTATGCTAATTTTACATTCAATGAATAGAGCTTAAATTGGTTACTGTGTCAATACATATAACAACAACCATGAAAAAAATTATAATTTTGTTGAAGGTGATACATTCTTGAGTTAAAAAATTTCTTCTTTAGAAGGACCTTTTTTTTTCTTTTTTTTTGAGGTTTGCTTTTTTTAATTGATTTTTTTTTAATTATTACAAAAGTTAAAAGTAGTGTTCCTTTTATAAAATTGAGGAAATATAGTTTAAAGAAATTAGAGATTATACTGGAAATAAGTCACAGATTAAGAATCAAGACTTCGGGGTATTGAGAGTCCAAAAGCTTTACTAACATTTTTCTTGGGTAACTTAGATATTTGGTTTTCATCTTCAGCTTTTCATAGGGTTCAGTCTCTAAAGTTATATTTTTGGAAAATATGGGCAAAATGTTTAAACCCTCAATATTTTTATTACACTACCAAACAACTCAAGTTATTCTGTTGTAGTGATAATTCATCATCCTCTTTGTATTTAAATCTGATAAAACACAATCTAAAACAGATTGTTGCTTCCCCATTGCCAACTGCAAAACCAGTTAATTTTAGAAAAATTTAATAAACGTGTTATTTCTTTGATTTTTTTCCTGTGTCTTCTTGACTCATATGTACATTCAGCCATAAGTGAATAAAAGAAGTGATCTTATAAAAATAGAACAGCATTTCCTCTTTAAGTAGTTTATTGGGCACCTGTCACATATGTGGCATCATTCTGGACATTAGAAATATATAGGAGTAAAAGATAAAATGGGTCTCTTTCTCTTCTCTTTTTTTCTTTATATATACATACATATATATTTAAAGATGTGTATTAATTTTGTTTTTTTAAATATTTATTTATTCATACAGAACTGGGGTATAGGCCAGAGGTGCAGGGTGGGTAAGAGGATTCACCAGAGACAGAGTGGGGAGCAGAACAGACAGATTGATAAAGGGAGCAGCAGGTGAGACAGGAGAGGTATGCTGTGCCATGTGGTCACATCCAGGGTCTGATCCAACTCTCACTGAGAAGGGTGTGGCTAACTTGCCATGCTGCTCTTTAACCCATTAAGCCACCAGGGAGGACCTTTTCTCTTCTCAATGGACTAACCATCTACTTGAGAAAACAGAGCATTGTACATGTTGAGAAACTAGTGTTCTTAGGTATGGTCAAGGTAAAGTAATAGTCCTGATGGACTGGCACATTGTGCTTACACAAAAGTCTTAGTAGCATGAGGTAGTAGAAAGAAGTATGTTGGAAAGGTACTTCACATAAATTATTAGGGTTATAGCTCATTCCCAGGCCCTTACTGCAAACACAGAGGTGTCTAGAAATAATCAGAAAAACATAGGATACTTCTCTGTCAATTAGATTTTTAAAAAAAGATTTATTTACTTATGCACACAAGAATTGGGGTACAGGCCAGAGATGCAGAGCTGAGAGGAATCACCAGAGACAGAGTGGGGAGCCGAATAGGCAGATGGAGTGAAATACACCGCTGAGGGGAGCAGCAGGAGGGCCAGGAGAGGGCTGCTATGCCATGTGGGTCACTCCCTTCGTGGGGGAGTGAACTAGTTGCTGCTGTGGCCACAGAGAGCCCCACAGTGCTGTGTGTTTTTTTGTTTTTGTTTTTTTAAAAGATTTATTTATTTGTGCATACAGAACTGGGGTACAGGCCAGAGGCTCAGGGGCGGTGAGAGGCTTCACCAGAGACAGAGTGGGGAGCAGAACAGGCAGACTGACAAAGTACACTGCTGAGGGGAGCAGCGGGCAGGTCAGGAGAAGTCTGCTGTGCCATGTGGTCACCTCCGGGGCAGGCGGGGATCGAACTCATGCGGAAGTGGCTTTAGCTTCTTGGTGCAGTGCTTTAACCCGCTGTGCCACCAGGGAGGGCCCACAGTGCTGTATTTTAACCTGTTGGGAGGACCCCCAGGGAGGACCCTGTCAATTAGATGGTTACATTAGTGTCTATTGAAAGAACAATATATGCACGAAATTAGCTCTCCAACTGGTATCAAAACTATTGAAGTAAACTACAGGTCACTATAGAAGACAGAAAAAATAATTGAGCCTGTTCCTGTATGTAGTAGGGGAGATTAGACAAGGACAGAAAAGACAAAAAGTGAGCTAAAAATTAAGTCATGGTATGTGAGATTAACACTTTGACAGAATATATGTATCTATTTCAACAGCAGTAAGCTTGCAGAGGTTTAAATTGTGAGTAAAGAAAAAGCTTATTATGCGTCATGCTCTGAAATTTTTGGAGGTGGCTATTGTCCTTATTTTATCTTTGTAACTCAGCAAGATTCTTTGCCCAGAGCCATTAAATCGAGCCGAGATTAAATGTAGGGCTGAATGATTTCTAAAACAGTGCTTTCCCTTAAACCACGCTGGATAAAAGTTCAGACAAACATAATCCTGATTTATTTTCAGAGAAGCTGAAGGAGCATACACAGTAGTGGAGAGTTCTTAAGCTATTAACTATAGACACGGTGACACAAATTTTTGAAAACGTCAAAAGGCCCTGATAAAATGGAAACAAAAAATAAGGTTGTTGGGTTACACCAGCTCTTAGCGAGGCTCAATCCCAGGTCTGGAAATCGGAACCCAGAGTCCGTCCTCTTGGAGCAGCCGAGCAGCCGCTTTGGCTGGGTCCAGACCCACCCCGCCTGGCTGCATCCAGACCGCGACATTTCTTGGTGGGGCACCCAGGAGACCTGGGCCCAATGTAGTGGTACAGAAATGGGGGTTACTTGGATACCGAGCTCGGAAATGTGCCTTGAAGGGTAGATCCCGGCCGCCCAGTCAGGTAGAGGCTCCCGAACTGGGTCTGCAGGAGCAAGCTCAAAGGCAGCGCCGGCTGTAGCCATGGCAACGAGGCAGACGTCGCGCTAGGCTGCTGCCAACCGCCCAGACCCCGTCAAGGGGCGGGACGGGCGCGAGTCACGTGCCCAGGGGCGGAGTCTGCGCGGGGCTGGCCGAAGCGAGTCGGGAGCGGGCGCGGAGGCCCCAGCAGCGGGACCCCAGCGAAGGCAGTGCCAGGCCGCTGTGCCCCCCCGGGCCGCCCAGCCACCGCCATGGGCAGTAAGTTGCGGCGGCGCCCCAGGGCTAGTGGGAAGGCGGCTAGAATGGGGCACTGACCCACGGCGCGGATCCGGCCGGCTGCGGGCTGTGGGATGGGCAGCCGCTCGGGGTCGTCCGCCCCGCGGGTTAGGGAGGCGCGGGCCGCGCGGGGCCGCTGTGGAGGGCGCGGGCCGGGAACCTCGGCCGAAGCCCCTTCAAGCCCTGCGAGGCCTTGTCGTGGACCACTGCGGGACCAGGACCGGGAGGCCTGGGGTTTGCGCTCCGTAGGTGGCAAGGAGCGGAGGATGGCGCGGCGAGGCCATTGGTTTGGGGGGGCGGGGAGTTAGAGAACTGGGTGAAACCTGGACCACTTTTAATTTCTTAGGAGTTTATTAGAAAACGATCTTTCTTATTAGCATGTCGCCCTTCCTTTGCCTGTTTGTGGTGATGAATAAGACCCTCTGACTTGTTTAATTTTTTTTTTAATGTGATGCATGGTTTGTATTTTAGGGGAGGAAGGGAATGTGATCCTAATTTTTCTTAACATTTTCATTTCAGTCATTCTACAGTTAGCCTTTTCTGAAAAACGTTGTAAAAGCCTTAGGAGCAGGGCCTTGTATTATGGGGATCTTTTGCGGGCCTTTTCTTAAACACTCAACACTACATATATTCGTACATACAACATAGCTCCAAGGTGTTTGTTAGATGAATGGGTAATTCAAGCTGTGCACCCATTGGCCAAACTAGGGGACTTTCTCGGTGAAAGCTGGAAAGGAAGTAGAGACATCCCCCCTCCCATCAACCTTGAATTTATAGTATAATCGGTAAAATACTGCAACACAAGGGGGTGGGGAGTGATTACAAGCCGACAAGTAAAGAGGCATTGCTTGAACAGGAATACTCCAAGACAGGTGATAATAAAATACCGAGAAGTCTGGTAGGTGGCATCATAGACTGAAAGGAGAAGAAAGAGATGAAGAGATTCCAGGAATTTTCCCCATGTGATTGATAACTTGTTTTGCAGTAAAGATGAATTTTTTCAGAATTCACATTTGCTTTGCAATTACAAGTCCAAAATGGTTCTTGGCTGCAAACATCTGCTTATGAGAATTTCTGAATTCTTTATCAAACATTAGTAAGTGCCATCATTTTGAGGGTTTTTATTAAAAGATAGTACTTTAGACTTTTGAGTAACTGAGGAAATTACTCATCAGTTTTAAATAATTTTCATATGTTACTATACAGGATTCAGTGTCTGTAGGAGAAGATGCTCTTAAGTAATAACTAGCTGTGACTTCTGGTGTTTCTGCACATTTCAGACCTTGGCAAAGACTTAAGTGTGAGAGATTATTATCTTCATCCTCCAATTCTTTGGCAAGACTTCAGTCATTCCAAGTGATAATATCTATACTTAAAGACCTTGACTTATCTTTTTTATATTCTCAGAGTAGTTTGGGAAAACAATACTGTCTAATGAAATGTAATTTTCATTCTCTGGCTGATTATATTGTACATGAACAAGTATATTGAG